ACCTTTAATCCTTTTCCCCTCTGAGTCCTGCCCTGAGTGACAAAACTCTGGACTGCACTGCCTTGAGACCAGGAGGACACCTTTGCTCTGGAAAGCAGGACGCGTGCCGATCTGCAACTTCAAAAAAGGAACAAGGCTTTTTGTACTCAAGAGAGATCTGCGGACTTTGGGGTCCGGTCCCCATCGGGGTGGAGTGGTCTGCAAGCGCCGCAGAGGAAGGCGGGGCTGACTCACCGGGGGGATTCACACAGACCGCGTGCACCGTCACATCTGTGGCCTTTCTTCTGTGAACTGTATTCATAAACATTTTTTCATAAATGGCGTACGGAGTTTTTGATAATGTAGGCTTATTATTAAAAAAATTGGCACATACAGGCAGCTAAAAGGCACAGGTGTCTTTTCATAGAGCCAAGAATTTCAAGAAGTGGGAATCTGGAAGCCCCTGTTCAACTTACCTGCGATGCCCCGCCTCCCTTTGGGAACTTGACCTAGGGGTCCATTCAGCTCACCCAACCCACGGTCACACCCCAGGGCAGGACCCCGGCCCCGGTTTCTGAACCTTGCCATCGTGGAGAATAACTTCATTCTAGCACTACTGCTGACTACAGCAGTCCCGACACCGCAGGTAAACCAGAGCTTTGCCGGCTCTGGGGGCATTGTGTCAACCCAGAGCAAGGCTTGACCATTTTTTATTTTATTTTCTTATTTTAATTTTAGTGAACCTGAATATTTGGGTGTCATCGCAAGCAGTCCGTTAACTAGAACTCCCTGGTTATACTTTTTAAATCCTCACATCACAGCTCCAGAATGACCTAGCCGTAGCTGGCGATCCTGTTGTAGGAAGAGATGTAAAAAAACGGTTATCAGGAAATCAAAATCAAGAACTTGTTTTAACAGTGCGTGACGGGGCTGGGGAAGAGAAATGAGAACATTAAAATGAAAAATTAGCTGTAGCCAAAATCTCACAGATGCGAAAAGTGAAGGAGCAGGAGTTTGGGGGAAGACATGACAAGAAACAGAAAGAGAAACATGTGGCTGAGATAGAGGGAGGGAAAAACCGAAATCTAGAGAGAGAGTGAGAGAGAGAAAGTAAATTTTTTGTTACACTGTTATGAAAAGTTTGCATAAATAATCGGCAGCCTGTCTGTCGATTTCAGATACGGCTAAAAGGAAACATATTGTGATCTCGGGCACAGATACTCCCACCACTGCGGGAAGAAGCCCTGGCCACCGGCCGCCGTTCCCTTCCCCACGCGCGAACCCCGCTCCCACGCCCCCAGCTTCTCCTGACCCGAACCCGGCGGCCTGTGACCTCCGTTTCAGTCCTCCGCCACCTTGTGCCCCACACACGCCGAGGGGCCCTGAGCGGAAACCCGGTTCCGCCTGAGCCCCCGACCCAAGAGCCAAAAGAAAAAGGGACCCAGGGCTTCCCGTCGTCTTCTCTCTCAATCTTTTAACAACTTTCTGACATCCCCAAAGCCATGCCCGGGTCACCGGCTTTCTTCTGTAATGAGGGAGGCACATTTCCAGCAGTACGGCGAGCACATTTCATAAACGGCGGGCTTATTGTAAAAAAAAAAAAATTGGCACATACAGAAAGCTAACAGGCATCGGTGTCTTTTCAGACGGCTGCTTAGGTTAGAAGCAGGCGAAGGCCCCACCTGTTTGAAATCTGGCTCGTGGCCTTCGACCCAGGCCCCTTTTCGGGGAGAGGGAGGGCCCCCGGGAAATCCAGTCGGCAGAACAACAGCGGCATGCGTTGTTTAGCCGAGGTCCTGGTCTCGGGCAGGAGTCCGCACTCTCGGCTCTGAGACAAAAATGGCAAGCACAGTTGGAAACAATGGGGGTGGGGGAGGTAAAGGGACCTACCGTGTCAGGGCAGGAAAGTGGACAGGGGCACCCAGAGAAGCCCCTGGGAGAGGAAGGCATGGGAGGTGGACCCTGAGACACGGCTAACATCCAGATATGCCGCGGTGGGAAGTCGGGAGAAGGAAAGGGGCTCCCTAAGAACACGGTGTAGCACTCTGAAGTCGACACAGCACGTCCCAAGTGCCGACAGTGTGACTCGAGGGCGGGTCACATTAGCTAATGTTCCTCGTGACCTCTTTCTTTCTGAGCCTTACCACTCTTTAGCACAACCCAGTTAGGATGAGATAAGTCCATTAACGAGTTCACGGTCATCACCTTTCTGTCTCGTTAAGTAAGCCACCTGCTTGGGAGAAGCTGGGGAAACTCTCTACTTCCCCGTGTATCCCTATTTGTCTGGGCAGTTCTGTAAACTACAGTGGAGGAGGCGCCATACGCGTGTGCTGCAGGGGAACGTGAAGCACCTGCGTGGCAGGTGTCGGGAGCCACGTCTCTCGCTGCTGGGCAGGGTGCTACAAACTCGGGGGAGGGGGTTGGAACCATCTACGTACGTGGTGTGGACTCTCGGGGGATCCCGCAGCGGGAACTCACGTGGAGCTTACCACAGACGCAGGTGTTACCTGTGCAAATCCTTACAGGCAGGCGTGTCTACTACGCAGGCCAGCATACTCACGTGTATGTCCGGGCTCTGCCAGCCGAAGGGCCGGGGAGTAACGGCTCTCCAGGAGCGGTGGGCTTACCAGCACCTAGGTCTTGCTTTCTAGTGCAAAGGTGAGAGGAAGTAAGATCGAAGGAAGATAGTGCTGTGGGCACAAAGAGGGCAAGGCAACAGAACTGTGAAACTTAAAACACCAGTAATCGATGGCGATTAGATACATAGTTACCAAGGATATAAATTATTTAGCACATATTCCTATATTATTAATATGGTAAGAAATATTATGTGTCATCACATATATGTAATTGAGACCAGAAACAAGTCCCAGTATTATTAATAGACCAGACAGCATAACAACAAACAAACAAAAGTTGTTGGTTTCATGTAGACAAAAGGGTCAAGTAAAAAAAAACCCCAGGTAACAGAAGGGAAGAATACTGCACGGAACTTAACAACACAGAGAAGAAAGGGGGACGTGAAGGAAGGTGGCCCGGGAGGAAAGTGTGACAGAACCCAGAGGCTGCCCGACTGGTCACCCTGTGGTCACCCAGTGTTCAGCCAGTGGCCACCCAGACAAGCCCACGCTGGCTCACAGTGCAGGCTGTTCACGCGGTTGGACACTAGCCTCGCAGTCCTAGACCTGCCTGAGCGGGAGAGACTGTCGCCTTCCCTGAGCACCCATTCAAGTCCACCCTTTATGCTCCAGCCTAGCGTGGGGGCCCCGCTGCTCCCCTCCAAGGCACCGAATCTCCCTCTCTGCTCACCATCACACGTCGGATGCCATGCTTTCACGGTCCACCAAGAACCCTGCCCAGCCTGACTACAGAGCAGGTGCCTTGACCTGTCTTGAAATTCCTGCACGGTGCGTGCCGCGCATGCTCTGTGAATATTCATGACGCACACTTACCCCACGTGTCACGTGACTGACTATCTGCTTTGCAGGAAGAGTCTGGAGCCACAGAGCCCAGAGAGGGGGACTGTCCCGAAATCCAAGTGTTCCCACAGTAGGGGTGAGCTTTCACAGTTAAGTGAACTCTTAGGGTCAGGCGAATAACTTCTTTTTATCATTCAGTGGCTCTCAGCTTCCCATCTGGAACAGGGTGGGGGCAAATATCGAGTCCTCTGCTTGGGTTGTCCTCATGGAAGAAAAAAAAATCCCACCACTCCAAACACTGAGAAACAAGTTAAAGCCATACCATTCCCTTTGGAAAGAAAAGATTTCTACCAACTGTGACCATTCTGTCAAAGGAGTCAGAGCCCTGCCTTCCATCCCCATCGTACGTAAGTCACCACGTCCCGTCTCTGCGTCTAGTGGCCTGGATCTTTCTGGAAGGTGCACACCGCAAACTCTCTCCCTTGAGCACCGCAGCGTTTGGTCCGAGCGTAAAACTCACGATACACCCTCCCTGTCTTTGCCCATCCTAACTCCATTCTGGAAAAACGGAGTGTCCGTATTGAGACAGTTTGAAATATAGAGACCAAGCTCTTTCCACTAAAACAAGACCTGGCCTTCAGAGCTGTGGCTGTCGCCGTGGGCTCCACGCACGTGTTGGAACGACACTGCCGTCGTTCAAAGCGGCTTTGGGAAGTCTGCTCGCGGCATCGCCTTTCCGAGAAAGTCAGGCTCCACGTGAGAGCTCCATATTGTGTCTGGTTAAGAATGCTGTTTCCCTAGCCCTGGCTGGCGTAGCTCAGTGGATTGAGCGCGGGCTGCAAACCAAAGTGTCGCAGGTTGGATTCCCAGTCAGGGCACATGCCTGGGTTGCAGGCCACAGCCCCCAGCAACCGCACATTGATGTTTCTCTCTCTATCTCTCTTTTTCTCCCTCCCTTCCCTCTCTAAAAATAAATAAAATCTTAAAAAAAAAGAATGCTGTTTCCTGGCTTAATCGTCTGAATAGGTCCTTTTGGGTTTGAGAAAACAGGAGTCCATTCTCCCAGGCCAAAGACTTGCAGCCACTGAGGAGTAAAAAGAACATGCGATACATTCAGAAGAACTTCTGTACTTGAGCAAGGGCCTTGTTAGAAAATTGAGTGTCACCGGAGGTTTACTGGAGAGGGGGTCACATCTATTTGGGGGTAGAAGTTGTGATGTGAGCGCTAACAAAATAGAACAAAACGAAACCCAAAACAACCCTGTTCCTTTCTAATTTCATATAGAAAGTTTAATTATATGCAGCTCTAAGTCTCACTGTTTTAAATTTGAAGAACTAGCTAAAAATTTGATTTTTTTCAACATTCCTGGAAAAAGATTTTGATCAGAAATGCCCATTTTTAGTTGTTTTCATTCAAAAGCGCTAATCAAGAGTGTGCGCTAAAAATTTGTCCTGAAACCGTGTTAACTGGGGAGAGAAATAAATTGATCTCTCCTGAAGTATTCTCTCTCAGGTACCAAAAAAAATCCACTTAGACATATAACCAAATGTTATTTAATATCTTAAAAAGTAACACAATCCAAAATGGATATTTCACACAACACTACATAAACAACATGAACACAATATTACCATATGGAGGGACTTTCAAATATAGACTTACAAAAATCCCTGTGCTTTTTTTGTCTTTTAAGTTATTATACTAAGCATGACAAGTAATCATCATTTACAATATGGCACACTGACACGATAAAAACCATGTTACAAATGTGCTGTTATAAATCAGTAACATTAGGGAAGACATTTCATGAACTGTAATTATTTCATATGAAATACTATACAATATAAACAGAACATCCATCTTGGATGACCTTTACAGCAACCAGAGACCAAGTAATTTAAATTTTTTTTTTCAGTGCAAACACATTTTTTTTCAAGGCAGTCTTGGCTGCAAAACTCCGTTCTAACATACAGTAAATCCCACTTGCACTTCTTAATTCATGTACCCTAATGCAATAGTCACATTCAGTCACTCAGAGAAAGATACCTGCAGAATTATGATCCCTTTAAACTGAACGCTGAAATTTAATTCTCTGCTAGAAAGTCGTATCTATGTCAACTACTCTAAGGACCTTAATTTGTAGCTGTCGATACTTACAGGAAGGCGACCCGAGGTTAGCGCTGGGGCTAACCCACCCCGTGTGCACAATACCACACACTGTTTCGCCCTTCCAATGTGGAAACCACGGCGGTGGACCGGTATCTGGGCAGGGAGACGGGGAGGGGGCGGAGGCCTTGGAGGGCAGGAAGGCGAGGAGCTGCGGAGCGTGTCTCGTTCATGATAAGTTTCCAGGAACTGCAGAGGACTGATCTCGGGAGATCTCGGATCTCAGATTTGGTACCCCTTTCGGGTGGGAGCCAAGGAACGGGGTGGGGTGCCAAGGTCAACCTTTGGACAGGGAGGTAGGCGGCGGTCTGTGGACCAGCCCAGCTTCTAGCCTTGCACGGGCTTCCTGTCGTCACTGCCTCACCTGGGAAGCAGCAGCCCCTTCCCTCGTTGGCAGGGTGTGTGTGTGTGTGTGTGCGTGCGAGTGTGTGTGTGTTCGCATTCGAAGCCAACAGGAGCAGTTTAAAGCCCGGTAACTGATAATACACAGTCGTAAGAAGGAGGCCGAGGCCCCCTTTGAGCCTTGGGGAATTCTGAACCTTGCAAATCAGCAACTGGGAGCCACAGACGACATGACTGTGCAAACACGGGGTCTTGGGCCAGGGGCCCACCCCCGGGGGCGCTCTGGGACGCAGCTGCAAGAGACGCGGAGTGGAACGCAACCCGGGAGATGCCGCCGTCTGTCTCAAACACGCCAGGACATCTAATCATGAGTTTTTCATGTTATGAAATGTCTCCTATGCAAAAACCTCTGGGAAAATCTTGGGTGTTGCCTTAATACTGTACACCCTTCCGGGAGAGTGACAGAGTGACAGCGGACTCTTTTATCTTACTTGGCGAAGACCAGACCGACGGTGATCCCTTTCCTGCCCGTATCTCACTAACTCAAAGCAAAACAGTGTTTTCCATGGTGTTTGCGTTCGTGTCTCCCATCCTCCTGCTTCTCTGGCACTAAACGTGTACAGGAGAGTCACTGAGGAACAGAAGGGGACTGGCGGCCTTGATCATGGGCAGGGACGGGACTGGGGGCTGGGGAGAGGGAGGGAAAGGGCCACCTCTGCTGGGGTCCGCTGTCACCCGCCAGCTGGTCCTACGGCTGGCCTGTGGCAAGACGGAAGGCCCCGCCTTGAGGATCTTCTATCTCCTAATTTGAGAAAATACGCAGAACCAGATCAGCTCCCTCGGAAACCCAGGTTCCTCAGCGCAGGGCTCGGCAACGGTCCCGAATTCCTGTCGTGCTAAGAAGCACTGTGAAGAGTGCTCACGAAAACGTCTGCCTCAGCACCTTCCACCGCCAGGAGCAGTCGTGTTCCTGACGGACGGTGTTTTAGCGCGGGGGTGACAGAAGTCCGATGTGAACCTGCAAACGGGGTGTAGGTCCAGATCTACTTCTGACCACCATGGCATGTGAGGGGACACGTTGCCCCCCACCCCCACTTCCTAAATCCATCCAGGGAGGGGCACCGGGGTGTGAAATTCCAAACACCCTGAACTTTTTGAATGAAAATGGACAAAGGTGTAAAGTTGCATTTGTTTTCTTTGACTTTATTAGCACACATCAGAAAAAATAGCATTGTACTGAGTGATTTCTCACGAGATGGTCTATCAAACAGATAGAAAAAGAGATCGTTGGTAGCTGCCGCTGTGTTCTGGGTAATCTTGTCACTCCTTCTGTTCATGCGTTTCAAGTATGGGTATTACGAATCGGACCTGCTTGGTGGGTTGTTTGCGAATCTGAATGCTTTGGAAGGACTTTGAGGTCCCCAAATGAACTTGTAAGTCATTACAGGTTGTCGTTGGTTTTGAACCAAGCGCCAAATACTGCCCATGTTATAAACAATGAGACTTTTCCAAATATGATCACTATTGTATTGCGAGCAATAGGCCCATCGCTGAAATTAAAAACTTTATTTTCAAGTACACTTTGTGGTGGTAAGTGGTTTATCCTGGGTAGAATTTTGCAAAGCTGTGCCAACCTAAAAATAAGGAACAATGCTTTTGTTTCCATTGAAGAGTTGTTTTCTTTTCTTTTCTTTTTTTTTTTTTTTGTTCCCAAGGTGACTGCAATATAATTGAAACTCGCATTTTAGAAAAGCTGGCTGGGTTATGGAAAAGGGAGATTTGGGAACAGCTGGTGTTCAGATCATTGTTACTCCAGGTTCACTTTCAATTTCTGCTTCCTGACCTTGAGCTTCCCAAAGTCAGAGAAGCAATGGTTTGTTTTCTTTATCCAGCTAGTCCCCTTTCCGCCCTCCGATTTATTTTCTCAATTTGCTAGCCTCCCCCGCCTTTTCACATGCTCACCAAGGTCCCCTGAGGTGTGCAAAAGACACAGAATGGAATGCCAACTACGTAACGGAAGTTGTGACTAACAGCACAGCTCTGCTCGCTGAAGTGGGGTGCGGGTTTGCTGTGGGGGCATGCGCGTGGAGGCAGAGAGGACCACAGTGCTCCACAGGGGGCAGTCCAAATTTCTTGTGTGTCGTCTGCTACTGAGATTCTGGAACTGAAATCGGAGTTTTCCAGAAGCCAATAGCTTGCCAGGTTATGTCTACCAATTGGCTCTTTGCCAGGGGGGAACTTTTGGCAGGAACCGGGATGGGGAGAGGGGGAGACAAGAAACTGAAACTTCCTATCATTCGTAACAAAGTCAAGTGCGCCTCTGTGGGCAAGAGAGGGGAGACGGGTTTGCATCTGAAGGTGAAAGGAATGCCGTCAAAGGAAACCATGGCCATGAGGAGGTCACGAGTCCACGCAGACAATCGCTGACACGCACACAGCACGCCGTGGCCTAACGACACGCGAGTCTTAAACTTTGCTTTTCTGAACAACACACTTCAACGCGCTGCCGCTTCATCGAATTTATGGAGGTAGTTATATGTAAAAATAAAAATTACCATAAAGTAATATGCTGTATCATAATAATACATAAGTGTGCAAAATGCTGACAGATGGGTTGACCCTTTAAAGTTGAACGCTACACAGATTTCATCCAGATTCAGTTTTGTAAACCTTTCAGGTGACACGCTCTAAGTGGGGACCAGCTAAGCAACCGTGTAGCACAAGGCTCCCCTTTCACGGGAGGACAAGGATGTCGGCGAAGCTGGTAGTGGCCCGAGTGCTGGGTCACTGAGAACCTCACCACAAACCGTCGCGGGTGACACTTGTAATGCACCTCCTGCCACCCGCCTTCCCCATTCAGGAACCCCAAATAGATCAGCGGAGGCTGCTGTTTCTACAGGGAACGTCTGCTTACATGGTATCATCTTCGAAGTCCATTATTTCTATGCTGATGGCTGCTGGTCTGAGGGAATTCTTTTTTTTTTCTTCTTCTTCTTCTTCTTCAAATCACGTGCCCAATAGCATCAGGCAAATCGTGTGCACGTTTTATTTGAATAACGTCTGTAAACCTACTTCTTGTGAAATATTGAAGAATTCCTATTTCAAAGCTTCTAAAGGCAATTCTCTCCTTTCCTGTTCTCACAGCATTTGATTATTATAATGGCTACTTTCGGAGGATCAACTGGAGGCTGATGGGCTGTTTCAATGGTTATTTTATGAACTGATAGCATGATAAACACTCGAGAGCAGGTTTTGGGGGGGGGACGAATTTAGACAGAAGAATTTAGTAACTGTATGGTATACAACTCCCCAAGGAAACAGACTCTGTCTATAGTCTCTCAGATATGTTATCTAGGAGATATTTAAGCAGATCTGGACATATCTGAGCAGTGAGACAAATAGTGCATTTCTGAGCAATCGAGGCACGCCTTGGAGGAAATAAGGCATGACATCGCTCGCCAGCTGACTTGTGCATTTCAGCGGTGTGGGAGTTTACCGAGCAGTGGGCCGCGGGGTCGCTCTAAGCACACGAAATGAGCCTGCCCCGAACTCCACACGTCCAGTCTCTCGTGCCCCTTCCAGATGTCTGATAAAGCACGAGTGGGCACCAGAGGTGTGCGACTGCATTCTTTAAACAAGTCGCCTGGACTGAACCTCATACAGGGGCAGAAGGGTTCCGCAGATTTTATGCCGTTGATTGAAATCTGAGGAAAGGACGTTTCAGATTTATTTTTGGATCTGTACTTTACGGTATATGGTTCCAAACGTCACATGCCACGAAACTAAAATAAACTTGTGGTCAGACCATCTACTTGTGTCCTAGGTAACCCTTTTGTGAATAATTTTCCATTCTCTCCGGATTCATTCTGCTGTTCTCGTCAAGTAAAACAAGGGGACTTTGGAAAGTCTCTTTCCTAGAAGGCTGAAGCTGATTTGTCATCCCTCTACTGCTGACTGGCTTCTTTGTAGTCAACGTGACAGTATGAAGTAAAGCCACATGTGAACAAGCCGTTTTTAAATACGTTGGGCTAATAACCATACAGCCACCTAAAAATGCCTCCTGAAATTGGTTACAAAGTATCTGTAAACATTACTCTGGCATAGTTCATGTATGCATAATTGTCATTCTGGTCAATTTTAGGGGAGTACAAGTTAGAATTATACCAATGCTTGCAGAATGAGCACATTCTGTTGTTAACTACACGGGCATGTGTCTATTTCTGGTCAAAAATTACATTAAAGTTTTCTCTATAGATATCTTCCCAGGAATAAAAGGCCTGAAGTTCAACTTTCCCTAAATCTGCTCTTTCCTCTAACCACTAAAAATTCTCTCCCACAGCCTAATTTAGGCATTCTATTTAAAACTACATAAAATAGATTTATGTCCTTCCATTAGAAAGAATAACATCCCCAGGCCGTACTCTTCATTTGTATCACAAAGAACATTTTGCTTTCCAACAAACTAATGACCACATCTATTCCCGTAAGCTGGGATCTCCGTAAGTATCCCGAAGAGGAAGCGCTCCCCCTCACGTCTCTGCCGAACACCGCTCAGAAGTCCGCACGACCTCTCCCATCACTGAGCGCCGCGCCCCCGCCAGGCTGGGGGCCCCTTCCTTTTTATCCACTCCAGATTCAAAGGCCTATATATTCCTGTGGGCAATGACGGAAGGTTCAAACTCAGACACGCATCCGCGACCTTAAACACAAACTCCTGCACACACACACACACACACTCCCGGCGTGGCCGTCACGGCCCTCCCGACACGCTCCCCCGTGCGGCTGCAAAGCCGCTCCACGCACACTCACAGTGACACATGACAGGTGCCTACACGCTTCACACACGGAGGGCTGGGGTCCCTTCCCGGCAGGGTGGCACTGGCGGCCCTCACGGTGGGCCCTTGCCTTGGACGTTTGGTGGTGGCTTAGTGTTGCTTTGTTGTTGTTGTTGCTGTTGTGTTTGGGGGAAGTGTCAAGAATCAGTTCTGCGGCACCGCCTGCCCACAGACCCGGGGCTACGCGCGCACCTGTGGCACTGAAACGTGGAACTGGCAAACTGCGTGACATCGAAAATGCGCATCACACTGACAGCATCTGGACGCTCCTATGGGTGCTCGGGTACAATTAGTGAAGCAAAAGTGTACACATCACCCCTACTGCTATTCTGCTGCTACAGAGCCGTACATGTGAGAAGCAATACTCTGACAGAAAGACGCGTGTGTTCCGCTCTAGCCTACTTAGCAGCACAGTTTAAGTAAACACGAAAACTGCGGTTGAGATGCTTGTCTTCCCGAAGATGTAAACATCAGTCCCAGTGTCGTAAACGTGGCTGCGTCGGACGGGACAGGAGATCGGAGGCGGAGCGAACGGCCCTCACACGCTCGTCACCGAAGCTTGCAAGCAGTTGGAAGGTTTCTGCAGCTTCTCCGCGTCGCCGGTCGGGGCGTCCGTGCTCGCGCGGAAGTTGAAGGCCGGGCCGGCTCCACCGTGGGCCGGGCTCAAGGTGGGGTTCTGCCGACGGTTACTTTCCACAATGCTTGACGTGTTGGAAGCCAGGCTCTCTCGAGTGCTAGAAGAGTAAAAAGGTTGTGTTTTGTTTTGTTTGGAACATGCATGATCACAGAGGGCGTTCCAGGGGAAGAGCAAATGATGTAGGCAATGGGTTTGCTCTGTTGGCGCATAACGCCACACACAGACCCTCTCCTACTGATTGTTCACACACGGCTCCAGGAGCCCGTGGGACTCGCCCAGCTGCACACACGGCTCCGGGAGCCCGTGGGACACGCCCAGCTGCACACACGGCTCCGGGAGCCCGTGGGACACGCCCAGCTGCACACACGGCTCCAGGAGCCCATGGGACACGCCCAGCTGGTAGTGCCCCGAATAAAGGGTTTTTTTTTCACAGCTCGAGACCTTTCAAGGGCTCCCCCTCCTCCAGGAAACTATTTCAAACTGGGATGTGATCTACAGCCATCGCGCCAGGTTTTAAACACACTCATACACACACATATGGAACGGTTTCATGTCAGGCTGGAACTTCATGGGCATAACTGCTCCTGAGTGAGGAAACTCAGTGAGTGCATGCTGGTGATTCTGTCTTCACTCCTGATTAGCAGGCTCTGACTGTGGCGGACGGCAAGCGCGCCACTGGCTAATCCGCCACACCGATGGGAAGGAAACCTTTTTCCAGACACCTGCACACCTGTGTGTCCAACTTTAACCCTTTAGTGGAAACACATCACACGTTACATTTTCAGATGAGGAATCTGAGATGTTACCCATTCGGCTGCGAAGTTTGCATTATCCGCACACCCCACCCCCAACACTCTCTGGTAGGAATTTTCAAGGATTCTTATAGAGTAGAGATGACTTAAAGACTTGAGTATTTTGATTTCTCTTAATTTTTCTAGGTTAGGAATACAGAATCTAGTTCATTGCTCCAAGAGACTTAGCACATTCCACATTTCAGATGTGTAGGGAAATAAAGAAATAAGATCACTTGACCGGATTGATATGAGCTGAATGGGTTTCATGTTCGAGGTCCTCAAAATGGTAATAAGAAACTTACCAGCTTACAGACAGTCTGAAGAGACCCCACTGATGCTCAAAACACCCATCCTATTAGATGGATTCAAGGCTTATAAAATACTTGACGGCAGCTGGTCCCCATAACCGGTGTGAGCTTGCTGAAGCTGGTCTACCCAAGTACGACAGTGGGCACCCTCACTGCCCCTCAGTCCCATCCAAAAGTGATGACACTTTTGTCTGCACCCTGGACCCCGGCAGCCCTTACTAACAGTTCCTTCCATCAGAATCCCTTGTGGCCTTGAATTTGCTTCCCATCAAAGGGCCAAGAGTTCATTGTTCCAAAGAGAGTGTGTTTACTGACGACCAAAGAGACAACCAGACATTTCCTGACAGCAGCGGGCACCTCCAAAAGGTTAACACCTTTACAGAAATAAGTCGAGTTCCTCCATTGTGCCCACGGTGTATCTGGGCACACCTAAAGAACATTCAATGCATCATCACGAACGGTGTGGGAAGGACTGGACTTACCTCCTTACCTGCTTGCCTGCCCTCTTCCCTAAGAAAAATCGTCAGCGGCTGCCCAGCCCCACCACGGAGGTGCGGGTCAGGTGAAGGAAGGAAAAAGGTGATAAATGCGCAGGCCCCAGAGATCCCATGCCCATTCCTTCCGTTTCACTCTTAATCCTGCCAGTACTTCTCCTCCCTGGTATGCGACTCCCTCCTTTTTAAAATCGGGAAGGTTTCTTGATTGACCTGCTCACAGCATGACTGTGAAGGAGAAACAGGCATGGATGAAGAATTTGTACACAGAACAGCTGGGCAAATGTGAATTGCTTCTGTTCGAGATCCGGCACGTCATGAAGAAAGCAGTGACCCTGGGCTGGTTTGGGAATCTACACCTTCCTGATGTCATCTTTTCTACGGGAAAACGCGCCGGACGATCCCAAGAACCCACTCCTAAACCGGCTGCCAAGGCGTGGGCTCCACACGGCCCCGCCGAAGGCCAGGCGCCGGGCGAGGCGCTGCAGGCACACGCGGCCGCGAAGGGCGGTCTGTGCTGGCCCCCGTCGAAGCCCCTCTTTGCCACGGCCCCCACAGTCACCGTGAAAAACGGGCGCGGGGCTCCAGTTCCCCCAAAGGATGCACTTCATGACAGCGGTAACTCATCACAAGTGCGGGGTGTGACAGGGACAGTGAGGGCTCTGGGCGTGAGAGTGAGAACGTTAACGCCGATGGAGGGTGAGCAGGAAAAATACCCCGCGAATGTAAACGCTCTTACTTCTTAAAGGAGGGCGCTAATGGGGTGCCGCCTTAAAAGGAAGACCTCAGGAAGTCACGGGCAGGAGACCCGAACCCCGCTGCCCCGTGGTTCGTCCTCCCGGTGCCCGTGTTCCGTGCGGCTCCTGGCTGCACACGCAGCATGCATCACACGGCACGGACAGCAGACGAGTCCCTGGCAGCCTCGGGTCCCGCTGGTTTTCACATTAACTTTATCCACCAGTGTTGGCCTCAGACTTGGAACAGCAGGCTTTTAGTGTCAAAGAATTTCAGTTTCAATACTAGATCTATGGCAGAGCTCAAGTTTCTACCTTTTTTCCTTCTCCATACCCTTTAAGTTCCCCACAAAAGGGACTGAAGAATTTTAGCAATGTGGCTGAACATGACTCCTGAGCCAGCATTGAAAGCTGAGAGTGTGGGGATCACCATTTTTGGTCTTTTTTTTTTTCCAAAGTTGGATCTTAGTTGGTCAGTGAACCATCTACTGAAAGACCTGAACAAACGGCCCACTTCAGATTTCCGCATCTCACGTCCATGGGGAGACGCCAGCAGGATGGTGCCATTTGGCTGCAATACTCCTCACGCTCGCCAGTGCAACTCGCTGCAACTCACGTAGTCTCCTTTGTAGGCCCCCCACATATTGGTTAGAAAGGCAGCTCAGTGAATTCACTGAGGTATACAGAACATACAGTTTACACACAGGGATAGAAAGTGCATTCGCCAAGAAGGGGGTCCAGTAAGGAGTTGTTACATAAATCCTCTGACTGCATGGCATTTATGGGTAAGCTCTGTACTCCTACGGAGACAACTCTGCCTAGTGAGTGTGGACAGACACACAGCTGAGTCGCGAAGGCTGTCTCCTCAGAACAACCTCCACCTTCTACGTGACAAGGCACTTCAAGACATGCACGTAAACTGACTTCAAAAAACAATCCCATTCATATCCTGTATTCCGAACCCCCAGTTTAGAGATAACATATACCCTGTGGAGAGACTGGTTCAACTCGCTCATGAATATTTTTGTTTCTGTGCCCCCAAACAAACAAAAAACTTCCAATGTTATGCAGTGGTAGGTTCCCAAGGTAGAACCATTAAGAACGCTCAACGTCCCCTGAGCAACAACTATCTCTGGAGCACTAAAGTCTTCTCCTCTCAGCAGAGGTCTGGGGGCCAAGGGCAACATGAAGGGTCCGAAGCCGCTGTGTGAAAAGCATTCGGTGGGAAGAGTGTACATTACATGAAACAGCAGAGCATAAGGTACGGGCAAATGAACCACACCTTCCATAAGCGATGGTTCTGAACTTCTACCATCGATGACAGACCTTCCATTTTGCCTATAAAGTATTCCCTGTAAGGATTTCAAGAGGAGAAAAAAGCACAGAAGAAAGAAATAGAAAGGAAAGGAAACACAACAAAATACCTGGTAAATAAGTTAAGATTTGATTTGCAAATTAGGCAGGAAAAGTTATTTCTTAGAAAAGTCATTTAATAGGGCTGGCAGTTTTCAGACCGAGTGCCAGGCTCCTTGAGGTCCCGTAGGACTCCTCAAGGGACAGGCAGCAAAGACCTGAGACCCCTGGTCTCTCACCCACTTTAACCTGAGTGCCAGCGCTCTAGTCTGTTTAGATATTGGACTTCTGCAGATGTTAACTTGGAAAAATGGTTATATGAAATGATGATGATGATGATGATGATGATGATGATGATGACGACGACGACAAAAGCCTAATAACGTGACAGACAGATTAATGATTCCCAGTTCTAATCTTGGGATGTTATGTCCCCAAATTATCTAGAAATACAGTGAAGTGATCACAATGGAACTGATGAGAATTCTTCATAATTAAAATAAACATAGGAAGTGCATAATCATATCTGAACACTTGTTAAAATTATAAACACTGTAAAATCCTGGGAATCACAGCCAACGAGGATTGTCAACCTCTCCACAGTATTTCTGCATCTCAGAGTCACCAATCTGGAGTAGAGTTCAGAAGGAAAATGAGGGCCGGAGTTGCTCTTTGAAGAGAAGGAAGAGGAAAGGAGGGAAAAAAAGGAAGTTGTATAGATTCTCTTTTGCCTTCCTAACCCCCGGACCACTCCACTGCCCTGAACATGACCTTCGGGCACTGCAAGCTCCCAGCTGTCAGCCCTTTGCCGAGTCACCGGCACCTACTAGAAGGGAGGGACTGTGATTAGAGGACTCAGATTAGGTGGTGCCAGTCCTGCAGGGGGAGAGACGACAGCGCCGGCACAGGCTTTGATCTAACGGAGCAGAGGCCCCCGATCTTCCCGTGGGCAGCACAGGGTCCGCTTCTATGCAGACACGGGAGTGGTGGGTGAGAGGAAGGCGCATGAGCAAGAAGGGGCGGGCCACACAGGAAGTCGGGGTTACGATGGCAACTAGCCTCCAGGCCCACTGGGAAGGCTTTGAGGTCCGCTTTTACAGTTGACCCTCGAACAGCACAGGGGTTGGGGGTTTTGACCCTCCCGCGGGCGGATGTCCACGTATGACTTTTGACTCCCCCCGACACTTAACCAAGAATAGCCTACTGCTGATGGGAAGCATTACAGATAATATAATCGGTCAGTCAACACTTGTTTGTATGTGTATTAATACTGTGTTCTTACAATGCAGCAAGTTAGAGAAAATGTGAGTAAGCAAATCATGAGAGAGAATGCATTTACAGTATTTATTGGGGAAAAAAATCTGTCCTTAATTGATGCGCACAGTTCAAACCTGTGTTGTTCAAGAGTCAACTGTACATTCTCACTAGAGGGGCCGCAGTGCTTGAATCAATCAATTCACCCCCAGCCCCTACCCTGCCCCCACTACCTACTCAATGTTTGAAGGACTTAAAAAAAAAACTTTCTTTTTCAGTATGGTGGCCATATGAACGCAGGAAAAAATACTGGGAAATGTTGGTCTTATTTAGTGTGGACTGAGGCACGTTTGAGGGAAGGGGCCAACCCACCAGTCCAGATTGGTGATCTCTACAGCTGCAGAAACATGTTTCAATTCCTGAAAGAGAAGTCAGAAACAGGTGGTTAACAACGCCTCTCACACAACGCGCAACCCTCCTTCACAGAACCGACACCGCGACACCGGGAGCTTGTGCAGTTCTCTGCGTAAAGCCCCAGGCCCTGGCAGGTGTGTGCGTGTGTGCGGAAAGACGCCTCTCCCTACCGTGGGGAGTTGAATCCGCTGTCCACAGTGATGCTGCTGCTGTCCATGCTGTCCAGGCGTGCCGAATGGGTGGTCCTCTGGTGGCTGCTGCTGTCGCTTTCTTTTGGGGCAAGGAGGGTGAGGTTCTTCTCGAATTTCCTCTGCAAGTCCCTTTCCTTCTCCCTCTCTAGGAGCCACTGCATGGTGCCCACGTCGTCTCGGTTCTTCTCCTCCTCGGCGGTCTTGTTCGCCCCTTCCTCGGAGTCGTCGTCGTCGGAGACGTTGTAATAGTCAAACGAGGCCTCCTGGTTCCCGCCGGACTCCTGCTGGCGCTGGAGGGCCGGCAGGACTTGGGCCCCCGAGGTCCCCAGGGGTGACGGCTCCAGCTTCTCGCAGCGGCCTGGCAGTGCGTCGGCAGGTGTCTTGGGGTGAGATTTGAGGAGGGACAGGCTGGGCTTGTGATAGCTGTTGACAGACAGGGTGCTGTGAAGAGGCTTGAACAGTGTGTCTTTGCTGAATATCTCTTTCCTCTTGTCCAGGCTGCTGGGCTCGGCGCCGTGGTGCTGGAGGAGGCGCCCGTTGGCGATCCCTTCGGCCATCACCCCGGGGGCAGCGGGGCCCCCGCCGGGCCCCTTGGGCGACTCCTCCTTGTGGCCCACAGGCTCCCTGGAGGGATGCGGGGCCGGCCTGTCGGAGAGGGGCAGCTTCTTCACGCCTTCTGCCAGGGCCAGAGTGTCAAGGTCCTCTTTGTTCTTTCCCAGAGGCGACGGCGCCGTGAGCACTGTCTCACTGGAGGTGTTGCACTGGAAATAGTCGTCCGTGGCTGCTTTCGTCGGACAAGCGTTGAGTTCGCCGTAGGGCGGCAAGCTCTCGGGGGCTTTGCCTGGCTCCAAGAGGCTACAGGCGCTGGAGGGTTCCTTGCCGCCACCGACTTTTTCTGGAAGACACACCTCTTTATAGCTGGCGGACAAAAGGTGAGCCCTTTGGTGACCGGCGGTCTGCGCAGGCCTCAGAGTACTGTCGTCGATGTAGGACTGGATGGGCGTCTGGTCGTCCTGGCTGCAGCCTTCGGCCAGGTCGTCCGGCGTCCCCAGGGAGGAGGCGCCCAGAGGGCCTTTGGAGTTGTCCATGGACCTGGACCGCTCCTTGGCTTTGCTGGACCTCTCGTTCCTGGACCGCCGGTCCTGGGTATGGCTGTGGCTTCGGTGCACCTTCGAGTGGGAGCTCCCCCTGGAAGGTTCGGGAAAGGGCATCTCAGTCCTCCTCTTGGCCAGCTCCCCCGACACGTCCCATTCCGGCGTCATGGGGAAGTGAGGCTCGATCACGCTGGCGCTGCTGTGCATGACGAAGTTCTCTCCTTTGTGTTCGATGATGAAGCAGCCCTCCCTGGGGGCCCTGGTGAGGGGGTCGCAGAAGTCATACTCTCTGTCGCCTGGAACGTCCAGGTGGGAGCCCTCCGACGGGTCCCCTTTGGAGACCCGCGTCTTGCTGTGCGACCGGGACTTCCCGTGGGACTTGCGGTGAGTCCTGCTCTTTTTGCTCCTCCCGCTGTGGTGGGCAGAGGAGCCGGCTTTGCTCCTGTGGGCCTTCTCCTCCTCCAGCTTCTTCATCAGTGCGGTGTGCCTCATGACGTTCTCCACGGTCAGGTCCGGGTTGATGCGCCGAATGATTTCCATCTCCACCTCCCGCGGGATGGTGGTCGGCGTGTCCTCGTCGCGCAGCGGCCACTCCTCGGGAGGGAACTGGGCGGAGAAGTTGGCCAGCTGTTTGGTCTTGTCCTTCTTAAAGCTCAGCCGGAATAACTTGAGCCCAAACTTCTTGGACTGCTTTTCGCCGTCCTTAGGTTTGGAGAGAGTCTCTGTCTTGTAGGAAAAGTTTACAGTACTTTTGCTCTTCTCCGTGGGCGGCACCTGGCAGAGGGATGGAGGGCAGTAGGGGTCTTTGCAGTCCTTGGCGGGCTTCCTCTGCAGAGTCGACGCGTGCGTGCTGTGCAAGTCTTCTCTGCAGCAGTGGCAAGAGTCGCAGTGGTTTCTGGGTAATGTCCTTTCCCTGACGCAGCCCGAGGCGGAGGGCGTGATGGTCCCGGGTTGTGGGGAGGTGCACTGAGACCTGTCAGGTATCCTCTCGTCCAAATGGTACCACTTACTGTTAGTCCTTATGAGGGAAGGCGTGATGAAGTAGGTCTGCGGGGTCACAATGAAGTAGCCGTCCGGGGTCGGGTAGATCTTCCTCTCCCGCACCAGCGTGTTCAGCGTGTGCCGCAGAATCTCTTGGCTTGGGGTGGGAACACCTGAAACCAAGAGAACACGCTTGTGAGCGGGGAGGGGAAACGCGCTTTCGGCCCCGACGGCCCAGGATCTGCCACGGTCTGAACGTTTGCGTTCCCCCAAGACTCACAGAGTCAAGCCCCAACCCCCAGTACGACAGTATTGGGGGGACCATAGGGTTAGATGAGGTCATGAGATGGAGCCCTCAGGACGTGACTTTAGGAGACGAGGGGACCAGAGCCCTCCTGCTCTGCCAGGTGAGGGCACAGCAAGAGGATCCTCACTCAACACCCAGCGTGCAGGCGCCTGGACCTGGGACCCACTTCCCAGCCCCCGGAACTGGGAGAAATAAACGTCCGCTGTGGAAGCCCCCCTGCCTACGGTCTCCTGTTACAGCAGCACAAACCGGCTGCCACAAAACCCTACTACTGTGGCCGAGCTTCAAAGTCTCGTCAAAGAGGGGGGACACAGCCGTCAAAGGTGTCCCTTAGGCTCCGTGGGGATCCTAGCCTTCTCTGATGACGCTTACGAGCATTACCACCGGCAGAACGCGAATGTGGAAGGGGTGGGCAGAGAGAGGGGGTTGTGATGACGATAGGTCCCTGCTGCTGTAACAAGCCTTTACTGAACCGAATCTTTAAAGATAGAATATTTTTAAATAAGGGGAGAAATGAAAGATGTTTTCCATGATATGATATACATGAACAAAAAAGACTTTTTTTTCCACAAAAGTAACTAGGGAAACAGGGTTGAGAAGCCTTTTTGGTATTGAGAAACAAAGCTAAGACATGTAGAGTCTACCTTATATGCTTGGAACTGCTCTATACATTTTTAAAGATTAAGTTGACTTAATAAAGTGAATTTTATAAATTATATAAAAGGGCGATTGGTCTTGACCATGGTTCACGGTGCAGTGCTCTCAGCTGTCATGGTCCATTTTGAACGTGAGGATAGCCCTGGTGGAACTCGGGGCAGACCCTTCTTGGCACAAGTCAGCAGGGCAGAGGTGGTTTCCCCAACTCGTAACCGGGGAGCCCTAAGAAACACACTCATGAAAGCTTAGATGTTCTACATCCGTCTGGTCCCGAGTCCAAAACTGCTGTATTTGCCAGAACAGAAATTGCAGAAGGAAGTCATAGATCGCTCCTCTGCAGAGCAACAGACCCTGTTCCCAAAGGGTTCTGTGTGCATGTGTACGCCCTGGCTGCCTTAAGAGACAGAGTTAGGAATATCCACACTTAAGGAAGTGCACATTCTCCAGACTGTAGTGCATTCACTTTCGCTACTGCATTTACTTTGGATGTTCTCTATCCGTCATTGCCAGGCACACTGATGGTCACAATATTTGTAACATTGACCTGAATGATATATGGTCACGTGTCACTTAACTACAAGGACACATCCAGAGAAATGTAGTTTAGGTGACCTTGACGTCGTGCGAACATTTGTAGAGGGCACTCACTCAAACCTAGATGGTCTGGCCCCTCCACACCTCGGCTAGATGGTGGTGGACGTTGCCTGTTGCTCCCAGGACACAGACCTGTACAGTCCGTTACTAAACTGAACACTGCAGACAAGTGTAACACAATGATGAGAACTCACTTACCCAAACACAGAGAAGGTACAGTAAAATTATCAAATAAAAGATAGAAATGGGGAGGAGGTCGAGGGACTGGGTGAGGGGAGGGAAGGGAGTAGGGGAACGAGTGAGTAAAATGAAGGAGTTAAGAAGTGTACAAATTGGCAGTTACAGAACAGTCACGGGGATGTGAAGCACGACATGGGGAATGCGGTCGATAAAACTGCAATAACTATGCACGCTGTCCGATAGGTGCCAGATGTATCCAGGTGGTCACTTAGGAGGATATATAATGTCCAATCACTGGGTTATGCGCCTGAAACTAGTAGGATATTGAATGTCAACTATAATTGAATAACAAATTAATTAAAAACAATGGCACGCCAGTACAGGACGTTGCCCCCAGGAAGGGAGCTCGCAGGACTGGCTGTCGCTCTGGGCGCGCCAGGGAGCCAGTGGTGAGTGGGTGCGAGGGCCTGGGACACTGCTGCCCCCCACTGCAGACTCTGTGGGCGCTGCCCCACAAGTCCCTCCGCCTGCTCCCTTCCCGCGGGGTCGGAAAGAACATCGGAGCTGTCGACGCTGCCCCGCGAACAGGGCTGTGGGCTGGGCTGACTGGGAACACCGGGGAGCAAGGGGCTGGGTGGGGCAGAGATCGCCAACAGAGTGACAGTCGGGGGGAGTGAGAGGTGGCCCGAGGGTCAGTAGGGATGAGAAATTGGGGAGGAGAGACAAAGGGACACCGGGGATCGCCGCGGCCGTGCGGTTCCGCCTACTGCATGTCGGAGCAGTGTCAGATCGAGGAACTCGGTGGCAGTCATAAACAAAACAGCATGTAACCTGGAGAGGGTGTAGACCTGAGGACTCCGTATTTTGACTCTGGAAATTTGTTTTCAGCTCCATTGACCCTCTGGCACTGAAGAGATGGAAGAAAGAAAGCTCATCCATGTTTTAGATCATTACGATCCGAAAATATTTCCCAAGTCCAGGGACAGGCTGGCCCACCCCCAACCACAGAAAGCTTTTACTAAATTGGCAGTGGCCCTTAACACCCGTTCAGGTAGCTCCTGTGGGCCCGTGCCCTTGTACAGGGTCGCAGGTCCCCTGCACCCTGACTACAAGAACGGCCAACCGTGCCCTCTGAGCCCGCCAGACTGGGTCTGGGAGGGCCGCGGCGCCCTCTGAGTGTGTGGCGCTGGGGGAGGGGCTCCTCCCCACTGAGACGGACGGGGGATGATGTACCGGGGCGTCACCTGTGCACTCGACACGGAGGGGCTGGGAGCGAGAGGAACCTACTGCCAAGCCCCACAGATACCGACCCCGTCAGAGGAAAACAAATCCTCCCGAACCACACGTCCGTCCGTGTCTTACAGGAAAGCCAGCTCCATTAAAATCTCCTGGACCGCCATCGTACACACGGTCTGTCGTCGAACAAAACGTCACTCGAGGTGCGTGAGGGTGGTTTGGAAACAGGTCAGGTTGAATCACACGGCCAATACACGACCGTGTGTGACCCACGGAAACGACGGTCTCCGTGCAGACTGAAGGCTTGGGCCCTGGGGCCGGACTGCCGGGTGGAAACCCGTCGCTGTTCATGGATGTTACTGGCGGGTTCACGCCCCCACCCCCCGCCATTGCAGGCTCACGTCCCAGCCCCAGTGCCTCGGGATGTGACCTTAGGCGGAGGCAGTCTTTATAAAGGGAATTGAATTAAAAGGAGGTCATTAGGGGGGCCCTAAGCTGACACGACTGGTGTCATTTTAAAGGTGGAAATTCGAACACAGAGATGGGCAGAGAGAGAAGACAGTGAGGAGAGACACCGGGAGAAGTCAGCCGTCTACCCGCCAAGGAGACAGCCCTGGGACAGACCCGGCCCTCACAGCCTTCAGAAGGAGCCCGCCAACTCCTGGGGCACCTCGGTTTGGACTTCCAGCCTCCAGAACTGTACGATGATACGTTCTGTTGTTTAAGCCACACGTACGATGGGATGGTTGCTCTAGAAAACTTAGCCCGGCTGGTATCATCTTAGGCAACCTACTTGCCCTCCCTGAGCCTCTACTCACTGTCATCAAAATGTGGGTCTTCGTAGTACCCACCCACACAGCGTTGCTGTGAGTTTAAATGAATTTAATGTATTGGGCTGGCCAAAAAGTTCGTTTTTTCCCCGTAAGATGACTCTAGTAGTGCTTAGTTGTCTTTAACTCGATTCAAAACAATTTTGTGAAGATTATATATCAGCGTGCATTTTTTAAAAAGTTATCAAAATGGGTGAATTTTTGTGTAGCCATTTTAATACTGAAGATGGAAGAAAATACACAACATTTTTGGCATATTATGCTTTACTATTTCAAGAAAGATAAAAAGGCAACTGAAATGCAAAAAAAAAAATTGTGCAGTGTACGGAGAAGGAGCTGTGACTGACCAAACATGTCAGAAGGGGTTTGCGAAGTTTCATGCTGGAGGTTTCTCACTGGACGATGCTCCACGGCCAGGTAGACCAGTCGAAGTTGACAGCGATCAAATCGCGACATCAATTGAGAACAATCAGTGTTCTACCACATGGGAGATAGCTGATGTGCTCAAAATACCCCAAACCAATAAAGTTATTGGTAAAAATGAAAAAAATATGTGTTTTATTTTACAGAGAAAAACTAAACGGACTTTCTGGCCAACCCAGTGTGCACGACAGCGCCTAACACGTCGTGAGGTCTCAATACACGGTAGCTGTTGGTGCTCTCAGCTCTGAGCCGGGGCCCGGGGAGACCCAGACCACCGTCAGAGAACACTGCGCAGCAACCTGGAACGGCTGGGCAGGCAGAGAAGTGGGGGCCCCCCCCAGCCTTCCAAAACGACGAGGGTGGGCTACGAAAGCACCGGAAACAGCTGGGAGCGCTCCAGGGAAGCGAGGCCTTGACTACCATGTGACACAGACGCCCGTGTCACCTTCTCCGGAAGGCATCCTCCGTGACCAAGGCAGGGAAGGTGACACGGCCTGCGAAGAAGGTACTACTGTACGTAATCACTTCGTGTTTGGTCTGCGTGCTTTCCTCTTACTCTAAGTTCTGCAATTTTTTTCTTCAATTTTATGGGAGTTTCTGCCCAAAATAAAAGCGAATTCCAATAGAATTGGTGACATAATCCAAACCGTATCAATGCAATTCTTGGGAGATGGTATACAACAAAAAAATGCTTTCAACTTAAAACAGCTGCTAGGCCCTACGAACAACCTCCTGCGGAACAACCTCAGGGGGCGCTATTCACACAGAATGCAGCTCCTGAGAAGAGACACCACGTACAACGGTCCCCCCTGGAGCTGCGCAGCACGGCAATCCAGGTGACAAACCCACATCTAAAACTCGGGATCTCACACGGTAGCATGCGTTCGGTCAAAATTAAAACAAGCGTTACCAAAAACGGTAAGGCTCATTTATAAGACTTCACGGTTGAGGTTACTGTGCTGCTAGATTAAAAGAAAGGGCTCAATTCATAAAAAAATAGCTATTACTATATGATAAAACTTAGCTGTATTCTAGAACCTGCTGACTGTGGGCCTTCCAGGTGATGATCTTAGAACCCTTACAAAACTGTGTAGAATCATGACTCCCCTGTAACCATTCCTTACCTTTGAGACTAAGCTCTCTGGTTATTCCCAAATGAAGGAATAAGAAAGAGTTTCCAGGGAAAATTTACATCTAAAGTGTTTATGTTTTGTATTTACAAGTATATCAATCAAATAATGTTTAATTTGGGAAAAAAAAAACCCAAAATAGAAACATTCCCTGTTCAACCCATTTTCCATCCTTCTACCTGTGCACTTGCAAAAGCTTTATGTGATAGCCACTGATATCCACGATAATTATTTTATTAGGAAGCCCTAGTATAATAACTGATATTTTCAATTGTCTACAAAATTCAGGGTTCCACTAGAAATCCGTAGGGGTCACCTAAAAGAGGTGCGGTTGTGAATTCTAACATTTGCACATTCCGTCACTTCCAGATTCTACTCCCAGAGTTTATTTATCACGGATTCGGATTTTAAGAGCTTCAAGAACACAGATAAGCTTTCCACCCAAGCTGACCCTTCCCTTACCTGACTACTGAAAGGAAAAGGTCTGCCTGGAAGTTAACAAGAAGAGACAAACAATTAGTGAAGAACATTCGGAGAGCATAAAAGGTTGTAACACGTAAGGTGGTTGATAGGTCGCGAGGGCGGGCTCCTGCTAGAACAGGGGTGCCCACCTTTCGGCGTCTCTGGGCCACGCGAGAAGACGAAGGGTTGTCGTCCACACATTCGGTACGCAAACACTAACAAAAACTGATGAGCAAAAAAAAAAAAAAAAAAGGTTTTAAGTAAATTTTAGATTTTGTGTTGGGCCACCTTCGTAGCCATCCTGGGCCTCGTGCGGCCCGCGGGCCGCGGGTTGTACACCCCTGTTAGAGTATTCCAAACAGTACACATAACTGCAAACACATCAATTGAGAAATGGAAAGAGAAGGACAAATCACCAGGAAAAGCGGGGAGACTCAACATCGCACGTTACTGCTTAGTTTAGGAGCAGTCTCTCTGTCTTGTCCCCAGGCCGGGGGTGCATCTCCCCACACCACGACCTTGAGTTTGGCCAATGAAGTGTTGGTGGGTGTGGCCCTACCAAAGGGCTGCCGGGCCCTCGGGCAGCCGAGCTGGTCCTCTCGCGCCTTTGCCATCGCCACACCCGGAGCGGGACTCTGCTTGCCCCCTTTTCCAGAGGGGATGGCGTACAGGTGACGCAGAGCCACCTGGCTAGGACCCATCTGAATCAGCTGAGTCCGGGAGAACCCACGACACTTGAGCTACGTAAATGTTTACTGGTGTGTGCCCCTGAGGTTCTGTATTTGCTTGTTACCCAGCGTTTCTGGAGCAATCGCTCACTGATACAGCCAACAGCTTATGTTTACCAAGGTCTCCTCTTGGTTGAATGAACTATGTGACGCGTTGGTGTTTAACACAAGCGCTACTTCAACCCAGGCAGGGGCCGCGTGCAGACCAAGCTGGCAAACTGGTGGCCCGATAATGTGTTTTATTTGACCTGCGTGTCGTTGGCACACTCATGTTAAAATGCACGTGCAGGTCACATAAAATGGAAATGCCCGATTCTCTTGGAAAAATAGAAGATTTTGCAACTCTGGCAGGGTCCTACTCTTGTTTGGAGAAAGGGAGTGGCAGACTGCAGCTGAGGAGGGGCTGCCTCTCTTCAGACGGGGCGGGCACGCTTTAGCTCACCCCTCCCCGCCCCCCCCTTCCTAGCAGCTTCCGGCGGGGGGTGGGGGGGCCTTCAAAGGCCTTTCACACAGCAGCTGGGCTATTATCTTCTTTTTATAACAGTTAAGAGAAAACATTTTATTGTTCTTAAACAATATTATATTTTATTGTTTTTACAGTGAGATCTTCACTAGTTTACCAAATATCATTTTTTAAAAATATTTTTTATCCTCACCTGAGAACATTATTTTCCTTGCTTTTAGAGAGAGAGGAAGGAAGAGAGGGGACAGAGACAGGTGTTGATGTGAGAGAGAAACATCTATCGGTTGCCTCCTGAGTGTGCCCCGACAGGGGACCAAGCCCACAACCTGGGTGTGTGTCCTGACCGGGAATTGAACTCGTGACCTGTGGAAGGATGCTCCGACCAACTGAGCCACACTGGCCAGGGCCCAAATACCATATTCCTAACATTCACTGGGTCGTGACATAGGCATGCAAGACATGTTCAGTTTTGCTGTCACCCTTTCTGTAGTTTAGCCCCGAAGGACTGAAATCGCCAGCTGGTTTCTGACTCGCGCCCTGGAACCGCGGCGCCCGTGCACTTCAAGAAGAAGGCTGTGCAGCAGGGCTGGAAGGGAATCTCGGCAGTCTGGGCCAGAATTCCGCAGGGATTCCAACGTAATTTCTTTTTCTCAGTGCCAGTTTAAAATAAAGTCTTCCAGCCGAAGAAGGCACGTTATTTTTGAAGTAACGCAGGCGCCTTCATGTTTAATGACAAGACTAAGGAAAGTTTCTGGCCCACTGTGGCAGAGACTAAACACGAGGGGAACCGTCCGTCCCGTTACCTGGGAAGCACGTGGTCAGGTGCTCCATCAGTGCTTCTTGGGTGACAGGTTTGCGCGCCGAGTTCATTGCTGAGATGGCCAAGCAAAGGATCTCCCCGAGTGGAATAAACTGAGACTGACTGATGGGAGACATACTGATGGGTGATACATCACCTGCAGAAAGACAATTGTCAAGTGAGCGGTTCAGGAAGAGGCCCGGCCGTCTGCCCCCCCGCCCCACACACACACACGCCCCTCACACATACATGGCCCTCCCGTGACTCTCTCCGCGTCCCCGTGATAGGTGTGCGGTCACTCCCCGACCCTGACCTCGTGCGCACAAGCACGGCCCATCCCTTCCGGGGCAGAGACGGCCTCCACAAACAAAACCTGCCTTTGAACCTGAGCACCCATTTAAACAGATACATTACGGAAAGGCCGCAACCACGGGACTTTGGGAAACAGTCTCTGTTCTGTTCACCTGGCGCTTACTGATTTATTCCCGGCCATCTACACCTTGACAGACACATGTGTGGTCACTGGAGGATTCATTCGTTCAAATGGTGAGGGCTCGTGAGGGTCAGGTATCGGCTGGGGGCTGGGGGCCATGACTAAGGCCCTTTCCCCAAAACATCTCTGCTCTCTCTATTCAAGTGGAGGAAACAGACAAGTAGACCCAAGTTCATGGTGCCCCAGAGAGGGCAGAGTGCCCGGGGCAGAGCAGGGAGGTGGGGTGGGGCTGAGAGGCAGGGAGTCAGTGCCGAAGGGGTGTGTGTGTGTGTGTGTGTGTGTGTGTGTCAGTGGGTGGTGGGGCTGTGAGGAACGGGGCGGTAGGGCCCACCAGCAAGGGGTTCTGGGGAGGAGCAGGGAAGGCCCACAGGTTACGCAGGCACCGTGGGAGGAAAGAGCTGTGCAGTCAAGGCCTTCGTCCTCTGAGGGAGGGTGAGCCACAGCGGGAACCTGAGGAATGACAAAGTCAGAAGTGGATGCAGAAAGGGGGCTGCTGGCCACAGGAGGGGTGGACTGGAGGAACTGGAGGAGCAGGAGAGGGCGCAGGGAGGGTTTCCAGGAGGGGCTGGGCCCTCCCACACAGATCTGCATCTAAAAGGGCGGCGGAGGGGGTGGAGGCGCTGGGGGTGGAGAGGCCGGCGGGGCGGCCGGAGGCCTGGAGGCAGGAGAAGACCCAGCAGCCCGGGGACTAACTGACTGTGGCTCCGGGGGAGGTGTCAAGAGGCAATGCAAGTACACCTTCTTTACATCACAGTGTGGTGATGATTTTCAAGTTCAAGTTCTGCTCTGAGAATTCCTAGCCCCCAAAAGAGGGCCAGTCTGGGAAAGCAGGAAAGTCCGCTCCTGACACCTGGTGCCCCTTGTTTCACTGGGAAAAAAAAAAAAGGCCCTATCCAAAGAGGGTGCAAGCTCTCAGCAGAGAGGAATCCCAGTGAGCGTTTTCTAAGTTTATTTCCCACTTGTACTCACATCATCATCTTTCCTGTCTCGTTTCCTAAGCGTGATTTCTCTCTCGTAATAAGTACCACAGGCCGCAGAACCAAGACTCGGGTCAGCCGGCGGCATGAAGCAACACCTTCCTGGGAGGTGCCTAGGGGCAGGGGAGTGGACCTGCCTCCTCACTGCCGGGCACTCAGAGCTGTGCCCAGGGCAGGCCTAGTCCAGTGGGAGTCCGGCGTCCCTCTGGGAAAGAACTTGAACCCGGGGTTGATGGACTGGATGGGAAAGAGCTGGATGGATGAAACCAGGCAACGGGGCTTGGGAATGAAAACCACCGGATGAGGGGGTGAGTCCGACAGGAGGACCAGATGGGGCAGCAGGACCCTGGGGTCAAAGGCCTGACGCCCCCTGTAAGGCCAGGTCCACTCAATGCCCCCCTCTCGCCGACATCCCTTGGGGTTCCTTCCAATCAGCGCTGCTGAGGTGCCACTCTCTGCGAGACGGCTATGAGGAGAGTAAGACATTTTCCCCAAAACCAGAGAGAGCGAGGAGCACTCAGATCTGGGCCAGGATAAAGGTCCGCGGAGACAGAAATCAGCAGGAACCGGGAACTGACCCAACTTAAAACCCACGAACTCCGGGGCCTACGGGATGTAAGTGCCAGAGAGACGGCCTCTGAGAGGTTCTTGCAAATCCTGGAGGGCGTCTCAGGGGGCGGAAGCTAGAACATGGAATTTGGGGCTGTTATTGTGGACGCGAGCTTCCCTCACTGGCTGGGGACACTCGGCTCATGTTGGGGATCTAAAAAACGGCAGAATTCCGTGGGCTGGGACCACCTCAGGGGGCAAGAATGCTACTTCCTGGAAGAGTAGATTTAAATCTTTTAAAGAACAAAACGTTGTACCCTTACATTCGAATGAAATCTTATTCTAAAGCCTAGTGTGTGAAAGGTGAACCAGGGGTGCTGGTGAGTGAGTGGAGGTGAGAGTTCGGAGCTACACCTGGTCACTCTCCCCTCCCCTCCCCTCGGCGTCGGGGAGCTCGGCCACAGCCACCCTCGAGGTGTCCCCTGGGGTTCCTTCTCCCCCTCTGCCTCCCACAGGAGAGGACAAGGACCCTGAGGCCGGGTTTCTTGATGCACTGCTAGGTTGGCCATGTGGACCTCAAAGCCACCTGGAAGGGTTTTGTAAATCAGATGAACAGAAAGGCGAGGTCAGCTGGCCGGGGGGGGGGGCGGTCAGAGCATGCCCCAGTGCCTTCGGTCTGCGTGCCCCTGGGAAGGTGGCACTTTCTAATGTTTGCCTGTCCTAACTCAGGGCTTCTCAGATCAAAAAATATAAAATGACTGAAGATGATTTTCTTAAATGCAGGCCTATTTTCTGATTTTTGTATACGTTACAGGGGACTTGATCTCTCTGTAAAAAAGAAATAACTATTAGCAAAATAAACTAATTTAGGCCACGCTTCTCCTTGTGCTTTTAGCTGAAAGTATTTGTTTAGTTTAAATGCCATCTTCTAAGCTAGTTCCTTTTCATTTGCCGCAGCCAAATATACGAGGCAGCATACTTTAAGTGTCTGAATTGCATTTGCTTCCAAAAAGCTCAGTTCCACTATAATAAAGAATACGTGCAGTATCTTTTAACTCGGGATAGAGGACAAAATGGAATTTGGAGGCTCTAAGTGACTATCTCCACGTCATCTTACTTTTCTTCTGCACTAAAATATATGAATCCCCACTTTCTTCCCACCCCCGGCCCCACTGGCAGTCCTGGGGAGCCTGGACCTCTCCCTTCCCCTCCGCCCCTACCCCAAACCGCCGTCACCTCTCACCTGGCCCATCAGAATGGCCGGATGACTGAGATCTCCCTCCTGCCCCAACGCTCCCTTCTTCACAGAGCGACCTGGCCTTCTCGGGAAAGCATAAAGCACACCACGCCCCTGCGTAAAAATGCAGCAGTGACCGCCAGTGGGCACCTGGAAGATCAGAACTCCTCACCAGGCCTGCGATGGCCCTCAGCGTCTGAGCCTGTCAGCGCCCCCTTGTGGCCGCCCCCACTGCTCACCACCTGGGGTCAGCGAGGGTGACACCGGTGGGGAGGAAGCAGCACACGCGTGTCTACCACGGGGACCGACTCTGACCAAGTCCCTGTCTTCCCTGTCTGAGCGTGTCTGTGTGCGCCCTGGTGTGTGGCCTGCCTCCCCCACGGGAACACAAGCTCCTGGACAGAAGGACACACGAACGCCAGGTTCCCGCCACATTTCCAGTGCCTAGAATAATCCAGAGCTTACTCCAGGCACCCAATAAATGTTTGTTGAATGAATGAATATCCCTTATAACATGATAACCCAAGGGATTTCTCAGGGCAGTAAAGGATTGTGATTTCATTCATACTTTTTGCTCAATAATTACAAAGCAAATTTAACAAGGCACTGAACAGACCTAATTTGTATGCAATTTCTAAGACTCCCCTATTAATAATAAATAATAATAATCATCATCATGCCCCCAAATGTAGCAGTTACCATAGCAAAATAATCATCTACTAAGTGATAGTTAGGACATGCATTTCACACCTGTACTAAAGAAACCACAGGTATCTCTCAAACAACATAACACAGTGCTCAAATTTACTGTGATTTTCCATGGATCTTATATTGGACCTGCTTAATGAGTCAACTAGTCATTGTTAAAATGTATTACTAGAAAATTCTCCCAACTGGACCACATTTGTGGTAAAAAACAAAAAACAAAAAACAAGGAACGTGAATACCGCTAAAATACTGCTGGTCATCATCATCTACAGAAACTGCCCCATTTCGCATAAACCACGAATCGCTACATGTCTACAATTTACACGTTCAATTTTTCTACCGTCAGAAGTGGTTCTGCACATATTCATCAAGACGACTCATCTAAAAACTCACAGCGACGTTGTAGGCTCACAAGTTCTTTCTGGGCCGCGATAATTCTGTCCTGGTGTTCCAACAAGAAGGGGGAAAGAGGTTTCGCTTCAGCTTTATTTTCTTACAAACTTCCACCTAGGTGCAGCCCTCGGGGAACGCTCGTCAAATCCAGGACGATTCCGACAAAGCCAAGCCCAGCGCCTTGGACAGAGTAAGCACTCAATAATTATTTCTGGTAAGCGAATTTAAGATGGGAGAAGACGTGAAAATATTACCATTGCAAGGAAACGTCTTTGATTTTAAGAGCATTTAACAGTGAATTTAAAACACCTCGGTGAACGTTTGGACATGGCTTTCATCTAAGGGCCGAGGCAGCCGAGAAGTGTGAGGACAAAGGAATCTGCCCGGTGGTGCCCATGGGGTGGAGGATGGAGACCACGCTGGAGGCGGGAGGAGCGCGCAGGCGCGGAGCGCCGTGCTGGAGGCGGGAGAGCGCATGCGCGCAGCACGGAGCAGCGTGCTGAGCTGGGGGAGCTGGGCACAGTGGGTGCGCTGGGCACAGTGGGCGCGCTGGGCCGGGCTAGGGGTGAGGGGGGGAGCAAAGGAGAAGCTAGATGGTGGTTGACCAGAAGGCTTCTGACCCACTCTTGATCCTAATGAGGAGCCACTGCTTGCATTTACATGGAGGAACTACATGAATTAGTTGTGTTAGAAAATCACTGCCGTGCACGTGTGCAGAACACACTGGTGACGACGACAGCCGGCCGGGCAACTGGCAGGGAGGGTCTGGACGACATCACACACATGCTGACTTTGTCTTA